TTGGTTTAACGCGGTTTTGGATATATTTTAACTTTTGCTATAGTTATTTTAGCACACATTTTTGTTAATGTCGTGTAATTTTTATTGATATTTTGTTAATTTATAGTTTTTCCTTATCCCTGCAAAGTGAGCTTCAAGGAGTCATCATGGTGACATATATTTTAATTTCACCTATATAATTAGTAATATTTTCTTTTTCTTTACTTGAAATTGGAATAAAATTTAAATCATAAAATAAAAATTAACATTTAATAAAGTTTTCAAACTAAATAGTCAATTAGTATTAGACTTTATTAAAGAAAAATATATAAAAAAAATTATTTTTAATTTTAACTTTTAGGAAGTTGGATCCACCCAACGCAATCCAAGACCCACAACGCAATCCAAGACCCATGTGAGTGGATCATTGGCTTACTCCTTTAACTCAACACTCGAAATGACTCAATCCAAAAAACCTGAGATATGAGATAACTTAATCCAAATCCACCCCACCCGACCTATTTGCCAGGTCTACTTAAATCTCTTTTATATTTTTATTCCTCATAACCTTCACACTTTACCCTCATCTAATCCACCATTAACAAGAGAGAGAGAAAGGGAGATGAAGAAAGGACATTCAACCAACAATTACAAATGCATATGAAAGATAACATCTGTATCACAAATTAACCCCCGGTCAAAAACTAATTCAAAGGTGCATCAACAAAAGTTATGACATAACAAATTAGGACATAAAGAGATCAAGAACTTATAGGCTTAATAACTTGCATAGAGCTCTCAACTACTGACCAACTTCATGCTACTGTAACTAAACCAATACAGTGTTACTAAGAGAAAACAGCAAGCAACATGCATAAAGACCTACGGCTTGAATAGCACCCTCCAAACAACTAAAAAAAGATGATATTTTTAACTCAAAATATGGTATACTTGCAACAGGACATGATCAACTAATGCTTAAGTGAGCAAAATAGACTCTAAACAATTCAGGCTTCAAGCCAGCAACCAAGTTATTCTCATGTAAATAGGAACAATAAAAATTAGAAACAAAAAACTAGCATAGCTAAAATAAACCATGCACTCCATGAAGAGTCAACTTTAGAATAGTATGAATAGGTAATTGAAGAAATAGTAGACCAAAACAGTTTATGAAACAAGGTTCATAACAATGAAATGACCCAATTAATGCAATCCACCTCTTTGAACACATAACTATAGCTATGGAAACAACAATGGAAAAATCTAGACTAATTTTTAAAACTAAAAACAATACAATACAGGTTTGAATACAAATAAAAGAACATTGATGTTCATCATTTACCCTCTATAAACCACATCAAAGTCAAGCAACACTTCATAAAATTTCACAAAAATTCAGTCTAAAGACATAATCAAAAGCAAAAAAAGGCATAAAAATCAAGTTCAAAGATAAAATCCATCTTTAATTTCATGCGCGGAGTCATTAATTCATATCCCCAGCTGAACAAACAATAAAACAGATTCAAACGTAAGAATAGGAATACCAAATATGTTAAAATACCCAAGAACTGCAATTCCTTGAATTGAAACTTAAATTTAAATTTACAATCGACTAAAATTATAATGCTAATTGTCGAAAATTCTTAATTCTTAATATTTAAATTTTAAAGTAGTTTTTAAGCTAAATTTAAAAAATTATACATTTAAATTTTTTTAAAATGTATTTAAATCCACATT